TTTTATTTTTTTCTTAGAATATTTATAATTAATCATTAATATTAGATGTAATTGAATATAATTCTTTTATTTCATTTATTTATTTTTCTGTTATTTATAAATAATATTTACATACATTAACCATTTTTTAATTATTCATGTATTTTAAAAAAAAAGCCTCAAGTAATTATTGTTCTTATTTACTTTCTATAACTAGAAAATCTTCCATTGTAATTGTATTTAATCCAATTTCTAAATTTGATGAGTTATCTCGATTTTTCAATATATTTTAATTTTAAAATGGAATAGATTATATTTATTTCTGTATTATTTTAGGATATATATCAAATTATTTATATAATCTATTCCTTGTTACTATTATTTCTTATTTTATTAAAATAAATTATTAAACATTAGTTTTTAATTCGTCTTTAAATTAATTATTTTTTTCATTAAATTAAGATGAAGTTGTACAACCCATTCTTTTCGTTGTTATTTTTATTAAATTTTAAATTGATTTTTTTTTGTATAATAAGAAATTTTTTATTTTTAATTAAGATTATTTAGTAATAAAATTAAAATGTTATCTATTAATTTATATCAGTTTATATATATTTAATTTATTGTATATTTAAGTAAAAATTAAATTGTATATATAATATAATATATATATATATATATATAATATATATATAAAATATATGTATATATTTATATTTAATTTTATTTATTCTTAATTATTTATATTTATTTATATATATTTATATTAAACAATATTATTATTTTTATTTTTTTTATTTAATTTAATATTGTATAAATTAGTTTTTATATGAGAAAATTTATTGAAAATGATATTAAATTATTATATATTACTAAATAGATATATTATAATAAAAAATGAATATTTATATTAATTATAAATAAAATTTAAACAAAATATAATTATAATTTATTCATAAATATGTTAAATAAAGTTATTTTTTATAACTATTAATAATGATTATATATATATATTATAATCATTTTTTAATATAATATTTAAGTATAATTTAAATAGATATATTTATTTAAAAATGTAAAATAAGTAAATTGTAAATATTTTAGTATTTTATTAAAAATATAATATTTAATATTGCTTTTATTAAAGATAATTATTATTAAATATTTGTTAAAGTAAATTAATTAAATTAATTTCTTTAAAAAATGAAAAAAATACTTATTTTTGAAAATACAAAATAAAATAATATAATTATATAAATATTTTTATTTAGATATTTTTATTCTTTATTTAATAGAAATAAACTTTTTTTAAAATATATCTTCTTTTATAAATAAAGTATAAAAACTTTAAGAAAAAATAAATATTTAAATTAAATTTATTAATATAATATTATTTATTCACAAAAGTTTATAAAATGAAATAACTAAAAAATATATTATTAAACAATTTTTTTTAAAAGAAACTATATAATTATTCTATATTGATTATCAAAAATAAGCTTTTAGTAAAATATTTAAAGTTATATATCCAATATTAATCTAATATGATTTGATTAAGTTATAAATTTTTTAAAATATTACAATTTTTAATTTATATTTATTAATTAAATATATAAAAAAATAATAATAAATATATATTTATTAAAAACTTAAAAATAAATAATATAATAATAAAAGTAAATAATTAAAATGCAATTATCTTCAAACCCAAAAAATAGTCATGATAATAATAGTAAAGCCATAAATATACATAAAAATATAAAAAGCATTAAATGAAAATATTATAATATTAAAAAATTTTAAATATATTATAGACAGATATAAAAAAAGAATATAATATACTAATATTATATAATAAAAAAATATTATATTTTAAATATAAAAAGTTGAATCAAATTTTATTGCTTCCTCTAGCGATACATTAAGAGAATCTTTTCAAACTTAAGGTAATTTAAAGAATATTAATGTAGCAAACCTAAATGATTTGAATAAATAAAAACCGAGTGAATTAAATACAATTAGTTTCAAAATAAAAGACTTAATATAATGGACAGCTTAAGAGTCTAAAATCGTTACCAATATTCATTACAAAAAGCAATAGTTTATATTTGAAATAAATTAAAATAACTATAAAGAATAAAATAATGAAGAAAAAATATAAAAAAAGAAATTCGAATTATATTTTAAAGATATTAAAAAATTTTAAATTTTTAAACAATAGTAACAGATTATAATAGGTTAAAAAATATATTTATTAATATAAATTTATAATATTCAACTTAATATAAAAAAAAAGAAAATATTAGATTATTAATATATAATATATATATGTAAATATATTTATATATATAATAAATAATTATATATCTCTATAAAAATATTATTATATAGAAATATAACAATATATATATTTTATTTATATATAATTTAGAAACTTAATTTAATAAACTTAAATAATATTAAGAATAATTAAAAAGTTCATAAGATTAAAAAAAATATCATGTTGGATTGAAAACTAAATTATAAGTTAATAATTATTTATTAATATAATATATAATTTATTTTTTATAATATATTTACATATGTATTTTTCTATAATAGACAATAATGATTAAAACTAAACTATTCTAATATTTTTAGTATTTACTAAAGAAATGTTAACAAAAGTAATGGGAATCGGAAAAATAAGTCATCTATAAAAAATTTAGCAATTTGTTAACATTGTAATAATAATATATATAAGCTTTATTTTTAATATAATAAAATAAAGGAAAACTTTTATATAGATGGTGAAAAATATATAAGATAAAATTATATTACAAAACGTAAAAAAAAAACTTAATTAAATTACTTATATTATTTTATGAATATAAAATAGATAATATATAGAATGAAGAAAACGAAGCTTAGTAAAGACCTTTATAGTAAACAAATAGCAATTTAAAACATTAAAAAATGAATAAAAATCATTTATTAAATTAAGAATTAGTCAAAAATGAATTTAATTTGAAGGACAATTCATCTGATAATTTAAAACAAGTATATGATCATTTAAAATAAAAAATAATTGAAAACAAAAGTCATCCTTTAAATTATACTAATATTCCTTAACCAATATCAATAACTAGTTTTTCTTAATAATTAAATGGATAAATAAAAATTGATTAAAAAAATTTATAAAATTAAATTGGAAAAGTAATCAAATAGAAAAAAGAATAAAATAGTTTAAATAAAAATATTGTTTAGTAATAAAACTTCTCAGAATAATTAAGTTTATAATAATAAATTTAAAATAGCAAACTTTAAGTTTCAAATCAATAAAATTCTTAGTAGAAAATGATTTTACCTTAATAATAATATTAAACAAAAGATTAGTTTTCTTTAAAAAGTTCTGATAAAAAATAATAAATATTAAATAATGATTAAATTAAAAATATTAATTTGTTTGTTGAAAATCAAAGTATTTTTTTTTTTATATTTTTTATTATATTTTTTCATATAGAAAGGAAACCTCTTAATATTAAAATTTCGTAAATATTTGAAAAAATGAAAGATTTAAGATAAGAAGGTGTTAAATAAAGGAATGAAATTTAATTGTAATAATTAATTATAAATAAATATATATATATATATATATATATTTAATATTAAATAAGAAAAAATGTAAAAAAAATTAAATGTCCGTATTATAAATGCTAAAAACCTATAAAAAGAAGTAAAGTAAATAAACATATAGAGGAATCACATAAAGAATTAGTAAAAAAAAAAAAAAAAAATTAAAGCATATATATATATAAAATATATATATATATATATTTATATATTATATATATTTATATATATTTATATATATTTTTATTTTTTTTATATAAATATCTACTTATATAAATTTAAGAAAATTATAAATTTTGAATTCGATAGTTAAAACGGCCAATTTAAATTTAATGAATAAGCAATTGATTATGTTTTTCTTATTTCAGAAATATTTCCTTAATAATATTAAGAATATATTTCCTTAGTATAAATAAATAAAAAATATATATGTTTATTTTTATATTTTAAAATATAAAATAGATAAAATAATAAATTTAAATAAATAAAAAAGAAAAAACATTAATTACTTAAGTAAATGAAATGTCATCTTAATAATAAAATATAAAAATTATTAAAAAAAAGGAAAAAGATGATGAGAAATTAAAAAAAGCTATGTAATAATAAATTTTTTAATGAAAAAAATAAAAATATATATTATTAATAGTTTATAATTAATTATATAAAATTACTAAAATATTTTTTTTTTATAAGGAGTTATATTTATTTTTATTTGATATTGTTTGTATTTAAATATCAATTAATTTTAAAATTTAGAATGAAAATTTATATATTCTTTTTAATAATATATTTATATAAAATATCAAAAAATACAAATTATATTATTTAATTTTTAACAATATAAAAATAACAAAAACTTAGAGGAGCATAAAATATTGAAATCAATTATTTTTGTAATATTATGAACTTTAAATTTTTGAATTACTAAAATTAATTTGGAAATTAAATACATTATATTTTTTTTATATATCCATATTATTTATTATACAAAATCACATTTAAATATAGTTAATTTATCAGAATAATATAAAATTAATTTGTTGAAAAAATAATAAATAAATAAAATTATTCGAATTTTTCTAATATAAGTTTATTTTCTTAATTTTTATTAAATTCATTTAATTTTAATGAAAAAAGAATATATTTTTCTAATACTATAAAAATATTTATGAAAAATCAAATTAATTAATATAATAAAGAATTAGATTAAATAATAAATAATATATAAATAATACAAATAATATATATATATATTTATATATATATATATATTTTTAAATTAATAAATGATATATATTTAATATTTATAATCAATAAAAAAATAATAAAAGGCATTTTCTTTTAAAAAAAGAAAACTTATATAATAAAAAAAACTAATAATTTAAAAAAAAAACTAATTATAAATAACAAAAAAAAAATAGAGTTTAACTTATATCCTACATGATTAAGAACGAAACTTAACATTATCAAATTATGTTTCTGGCCATGACAGACCTTTGTATTTCAAGCGTCCTTTAATTCCCTAATTAGCTGATGTAACATTACATATATCAAAGCCTCCTTAAGTCTAAATAGCTAATTCTTTAAAAGGATAAAACTTAGTTATTAATAACGAAATATAAAATCAAAAAACTCGAGATGTTATTATTTAGACTGATTATAGAGAAAATGATACCTAAACTGACCCTTATACACCTAAAGGCATTGTTAGAGATGGTGATTAACCTGAAGTTTTGGATTTATAGTATTTAAAATGGGGTAAAGGACTTCCCACTTGTATTGATGAGTTAGATTAGATAGAATTAAATAGGGAAAAAGTTTGGTTTGAGAATTCTCTTCCGCCAATATCGGATGAGGCGTCTTTTAATTTAAGAAGAAAATTAATGGAAGAATAGGAATTAAGGGAATGGTCTAAAAAAGAAAATGAAATAAAGAAATTTCAAAACGAAAAACTTTATTTACTTCAATAAGCTTTAATTGAAAGGGAAAAGGAAGTGGAAGATAAAAACTAGGAAAGAATAGAGGAAATTAGATAAAAAAAAACTGAAAATAAAAATAGATAAATAGCAAAGATTTAAAGAAAAAAAATAAAAATAGATCGAAAAATGACCAAAAGTAGGAAAAATTAAGGAACTGATACTTAAAAAAGGAATATTATTGAAGATTATGCTGATTTTGCATCTAGAGTATATGCAGGAATTACACGAGAAGGACTTTCTTTAGATAAAATAGCTAATAAATATGAAGTTTAGCCTTTAGCTTTAGGAAATTATGTACTTTTAGATTAATTACATTCATTAATTAAAAAATCTGAATTTGATACTAATGTTAATTTGAAATAAGAAATGAAGGAAATATAAAAAAAATATACAAGACTAGTAAAAAAATTACTTAATATATAAATAATATATTTATATATAATTAAAAAGGAAAATTATCATAGAGGTGAATTAGCAAAAGCATAAGCCGAAATAGATGGATTTTTTCAAAAAAACAATAATAAAGTTACATAAGAAAGAGATAAATATTCATTTAAAAATTTCAAAAACAAAGTTCGTCCATCAACCCCTACATGGAAATATGAGTAAAAAACAAATAAATAAATATACATATATATATATATATTAGTATTGATTTTAATCTAATGGCATCTTAATATCGTGAAATATAAGATTATAGAGGTAAATTCGAAAAAGATAAAAACGGGAATCCTGTAATAACAATAAATGGCATTGCAGGTGTAAAAACACCTGTATAAATAATGTAAGAATCAGATAAGAAAGAAACTGCGGTTTTAATTTTATAAAGACTTTTAAGAGGACGTTCTATGTAAAATATAATGTATGAAGGAAAGAAAAAGAGAACTGCTTTAATTGAAGAATTACTCACTGTAGCTTTAATTCATGATTTAGAAGAAGATAAAGCTGAGGAAATTCTAATTTAAAATCATGAATAAAAACTTAAAAATGCTGCTTTGGAAAGTATTCAAGGAGAGATTATTGCAGAAACTATTGACTAGTTATCAAAGGAGTTATTAAGGATAAAATAGGAGAAAAAAATTCAATAAATGGTCGAAATTGCAGAAAAAGATAGAAGAATTAGAGAAATAGAAGAAGCCGGGAAAAGATAAGCTGAGGAAATTTTAAGAAATAGGGAAGATGTGTTACATTATTAACTTATTAGAGTACATTAAGGTACTGTGGATAGTTATTTGGATTAAATTATGTAAGATTCTTTAGATTAAAGTATGTGTTTTTTTTATTATTATATACATTTTTTTTTTAAAAAAAAAAAAAAAAAAGCTTCTACTAGATAAGCTATTATTATGGCTAATTTAAGAAAAAAATAGTTTAATTTACCATTAGAAAATTTCGAAAGAACTTATAATAATAATTAGACTATTATTAAAGATTTAGTACATTCTTTCCTTATACCAAATATTTAGAGATCTAAATTAAAAAATAAAGTTTTTTTTTTTAAATAAAAATATATTTTTATTAATATATAAAATTAGTTTAATTAGAAGAAAAAGATTCAACGAAGCTGCTAAAAATCTTTATAAAAAACTATTACTTAGGCTTCTAGTAAATTAAAATAAATTCAAGAGGAAGAAAACTAATAATTATGAGAATTTCTTTTTTTTTTTTTAATAGAAAAAAATTTATTAGTATAAAAATATATATTATTTGTTATATAATAATAAGAAATATTCTTTTTTTATTTTAATTTTTGTAATTAAAGTTTAGATAAAATAAAAACATTAAGTTTAATAAAAAGAAAAATATAATATATTATATAAATATTCTATATATTTTAATTATAAATAATCTTTTATTATTTATCAATTTTTTTTTTTAAAGTATATATATATATATATCATTAATTATCAATATCAATTAATATATTCTTTATAATAGAAGGACATTCTTCTAATAAATATTAACTAAATTCTTTTACTTTGTTGAAATCTTCAAAAATAGTTCTCTCATTAAAAAAGAACTTTATTCCTTTTTTTAAAATTAAAAATTATTTTATTTAATAAATTAAATATACCTAAAGAATTTAAAACTTACTCAAATTAGTTAGTAATTAAGTAAAGATTATTCTTATTATTTAAATTTATATCTTTATTATTAAAATTACTTATATTTTTAAAAAAATTTTCTTTAGAATAAATGTCATTATTATCATTATTAATTTGATCAAGCTTAAAATGATTTTTTATGTTTTGAGAAATTAAAATTTAATCTGATTATGAATTTTCATTTACATTAATTTTAAATTTTAATTTTTCTTCATATTTAATATTTTTATTTTTAATTTTTAATTATTTTTAATTATTTTTAAATTATTACTATTATTAAAAAAAATAAAAAAAAATTAATATATATATATATATATATATATATATATATATATTTATATATATATTTATATATATATTTATATACATCATTTTTATTTTATTATTTTCTACATCTAGGACATGTATATTTTTTCTCATTTTAATTTATATCATCATTTATTTTTATTCCATAAGTTGTTTCGCATTTTTCATGTAACTTATAAATTTAAAAATAAAAATATCATTAAAAGTAATATATAAAATAACCCATAAATCGCAGATATCACATTATATCCAACATTCTCCATCTCCTTCATTTGTATCAAAATATATTTAACTACAATATTAACAATATTAGTTTCCTTTGTATCTACCAAAACAATTTTAGCATAAACTTATTTTTTCTTTAACATTATTTATTTTTAGGCATTTGCTTTATACTTATATAAGTTATTTTTTATCTTAATTTTAACAATATTTATTAAAGCAATGCTTTTTTTGTTAAATTTCTGTCTTATTTGTTTATTTTTGTTTTTAATAGGCTATAAAATATAAAGATATAAATAAATTATATTTAACTTCTTTATTATTCTATTAAATATATTTTATTTTTATTATATTATTTATTAAATATAAAAATAATTATTTATTTTAAATTTTCTTTATTAATGAATATTTTTTAATATTTGTAATTAAATATTATTTTTAAATTTATTAATGTAAAAAGTTTCATATTTTTATTTTATTTCATTTATATATTTAAATTTACTTTTTTAAGTAAATTTCTAATTTTTATCTTTCGTTTCTTTTTTGTTGTTTTCTTTTGCAGGAGATTTTTTATTTTTATCTTTTTTTAGTTTTTTTTTATTAAAAAAATAAGTATAAAAAATGATTTTAAGTAATTAATAAAATAGTATTTTGGTTTTTTTTCAAATACCTTATTGATTAGGAGAAGATTTTGATTAGTTTTATGTATTTAAGGGGGAATTAGAGTTTGAATTCATTTACTTTATTTTACTTTTTTTATTATTAATATTTTAGTTTCTATTTAATATGATACTTTTTGTTAATAAATTAAATATTTTATATTTGTTTTAATATATGAAAAAGGTTAAATGTAAAATATATTATTAATACAATTTTTTTGAAAATTATTAGTTAATATAATTTATAATATTCTTAATTGAGTTATTTTGAGATTTATATTATATTTTTTTTAATTAAAATTATATTTTTTTTAATTTAAATATAAAAAATATTTAGTAATAAAATCATAAATAATTATAAAATATAATATAAATTAAAATAAAATATGATTTCAATATATTTTTATTTTTTAAACTTAGAAATTTATGAAATAATATCTTTAATAAAATAAAAAGATAGATAAAATAAAAAATTGTTTATAAATTAAATGTAGGATATTCAATTAAAAATATTATTAAAAATTATAAATTAAATAATAAGAAATAAATGAAGTTTGTCTATTATTTAAAATAATAAAAAAATAATATCAATGAATAATACAGAAAATATTAAGCTTTCTTAAATGTATATTATTATATAATATTTTTTATTTTTAGATTAAATTAGAAAATATAAATTAAAATATATATGGATGGGTTTAAGATTTAAATATTTTTTTATATTAAATTTTTAAAAAGGTTTAGTATAAAAACGTCAATAAAAATATTTTAAATATAAAATAAAATTATTATAAATAATTTTTTTATAAAAATATATAATTTAGATAATTTTTTATATTAAATTGCATTATGTATTATATCCAGAACAAAATAAAAATTGAATTAAACTGATGTTTTAAATATTTTATATTAAAATATTATAATTTAATAAATAAAATATTAAATAAAAAATTAATTTTAATAAAAAATTAATAAAAATATATATATAAAATAAAAATTATGTTATTATATTATAAAAAAATAAGATACGATTTATATCAAAATATTAATTTAATAAAAAATAAAAAAATTAATTAATAATTGTAAAAAAATATTTATATATAAATAATCTTATATTGTAATTTTAAAATAAATAAATTAAAAATAAAATCAAAATTTATAAATTTAATAAAAAATTGAATTTATTATTAAAATAATAATATTTTATGTAAATAAAAATATTAAATAAATTTAAAAATTAATAATTTTTTTATTAAATATATAATTATTTAATTAAAAAATAAAACTATTTTTTATTATATATTTTTAGTTTATTATTATATATTAAAAAAATATTTATTATAATATATATTATTTTATTTAAAAAAAATATATTATATAATTATTATTTAAAAATATATATGTATATAAAAAATTTATATAGATATTAAAAATAATATTAATATTATTCATTAAAATTAAAAAAATATAAATTTATATTTTATAAGCAATTTCATTTAATATAAAATTATTTAAATATTATTAAATATATATTTAATAAAATAAAAAATATTTTAATATAAATAAAAAAATATATATATATTTTAGAAATGATAAAACACAAAAAAAGATATAAAAATATAAATTTAAATATAAAAAAAATTAATAAAAAATATAAATAATAATAATGCTAAATAAATTGCATGATTAATATAAATTATAAAAAAAAGAATAAAATGAATTTTATAAAAACATAAAATATAGTATATTTAAAAAAACTAATCAAAAATTTTAAAATAAATATGTAGAATATAAAATAAAAAAAAATTATAATAAATAAAAAATAAAATATAAAAAAATATAAATATAAAATAAAAATATATATAAAATAATATATATATATATATTTAATAAATATATATATAAATATAATATATTAGTTATTAATTATTTTAAAATTAAATAAATATTTTTTTATTTTATATTTTATAACAATATATATTTTATAATAATGCTTAAAATATTTTTATTATATATATAATATATATATATCATAATATATCATATATTCATATATTAATATATAAAATATTTATTAATGTTTTTTTTAATATTATTTTATAATAAATTTTATTTTTTTTAATATTATTTTTATTTATAAATAACATTTAAATTTTTTTGAATCATTAATATTTTTAAAATTTTAAAATATGTTATATACATATTATTTATTTTACTTTTACATAATACTTAAAATTACTTTTTATTTTTAAATCATTTTATTTTATATATTATCCTTTTATTTATTTGTATCATATATTTAATTAGATTTTTTTAAAATTTAATTAATTTTAAAATTTATTTTATTAATTAATTTTAATAAATTTTATTTTTTGATATATTGAATTTATTTATTAATTATTTTTGTTATATAACTAAAATTTTATAATTATGAATATTTTTTTTATAAATTATATATTATTTAGTTATCATCTTTAATTTATATATTATGTAAAAATTTAAAAAATATTATCTAACTTTCTAAGTATCTATTTTTTATTTTTTCTATTTTAATTTTATTTTATAAGCGTTTATTCATTAGAAATACAATTATATTTGTATTGAAAATTTTTCTTATAAAAATATAAACATTAGTAAATTATTAATTATAATTAAAAAATAATTTATTTTTTACTCAAATACTTATTAATTTAAAATTATTTTGATATATAGTAGTAAGAAGTCAAATAAACTATCTAATTTTTTATTTTAAATAAAATAAAAATCTATTTTTTTTTTTTAATTAAAATTTTGAAAATAGTAAAAACATTGATAAAACATTAAATAATTTATATAAAAATAAAAAAAAGTATATTTAAATAAATATATTTTTAAAAAATAATTATATTCTTTTATTAATCAAAAAAAAAAAAAAAGATACATACATAATATATATATTGATATATATTTAAAATTTATAAAAAAAAAAATTAATTTTTTTTCTTTCAAAAAATTTTCTCATTTAAATTAGTTCCAAATAAATTAACAACATTAATTTCAGTTAGATTTTCTACATTCTAAAATAATTTATTAAAATAAATTTATATACTATGTAAAAAAATACTTATTATAAATGTTTTTAAGGATCAATTTTTCCAACATTTCTAATTTTGAGTTATTATTTAGTTTTTTTTTCTTCATCTTCAATCCATCTTATATAATTTTTAGCTAATTAACACATATCTACTAACTTCTTTTAATTTTCATTTTATTTTTCATCATACTTATCTTACTTCAAAGCTTAATTCCAATTTTTTTTATACAAATTAAGTAACATTTAAGTTTCTAAATCATTTTTTCTATAACTAATATTTATCGAATAATAGTATTTATTTAATCCATGATAAATAGCCTTAAAAAAATAATATTTTTAAGATAAAAAAATTAAATAAAATAATATTTGATTTAATGTGAAATAAATATATAAAAAAATACATTAAAAGATTAAGGTTATAAATGGCCAATATTACTAGTAGTTTATCTTGCTTCCATACCTAATTTTTAAGTATCCATATTAATAAGTCTAAAAGCATCCATAACAACTTTCCCTTTAACAGATTATATAGGATCAATAACTAAAGCAACTGATCTAGGATGTAATTATTCAAAACTCTGTTTTTTTGGTTTATTAAAAATATATATGTATATGAAAACTTATGTATTTATTAAAAAAAATAAAAAAAACCATTTAAGTATTCATATCAACACTAGATAGCCAAGGGCCAAACCCAGGATGTGAATGATACCATCCAACCACCATTTCGCTTCTTTCTGTTTATTTCAACATTTCTAACATTTCAGCTTGGAATACAGGATCTACTGCTTCAACGGATTCCTATTTTATTTTATTTTATTTTGAGATTTTGTGTCTATTTTTTTTTATTTTTTTTACTCCTGTTCCTGATTATGGCATTGCAAATACGTCTACTACTTTTACTGTGTAATCGTCTATGAATTCTCCTAACATTAAACCCATTACTTCTAAAGGAACTCCTGCTCTAGCTATTTTTATTTTGTATTTTTTTTATTTTTTTTTGGTTGGTTTTTTTTTTTATTTTACAATGTTTTAACATTTTTAATAATGCTAATGATGATATTTATATGGTTTCAGCTGTATCGTCTAATGGAATACTTATATTGTTTGGATTTTAACCTAAATTTAGTCCTAAAAATTATTATAAAAGTTAATTGTTTCTGTTCATATCTTCTTTTTTTATTTATTAATGAAGGTTAAATATTCTTTTTTTATATTTTTTTTCAAATTAGTCTTTTTTTATTTGATTAATATCTAATATAAATATTTGTAAAATTTATTTATTTATTATTGTTTAATTATTTATTTTATATAAAATATATTATTTATTATTAAAGTTTTTAATTGTTGTTTTAAAAATAATTAATTTTTTTCAGAATAGGGAATAAAGAGTAAATTAATTAATCATTATATTTTTGATTTATATTATTTTATTTTTTTTAGAATATAATAATAAAATTTGGTTTTATTAATAACAATTGATAATTAAATAATTATTTAAAAATAAATATAATATTATTAAATGAATTATTTTTTTTAATGAAAAATGTTTCATATTTTTTAGAATGTTTATTATATATATTATTAATCATAAATTGATTTTTTAAATATTAAAAATAATCAATTTTTAGTTATAATTATTAATTAAAAATAAAGTATATTTAAAAAAATAAAAATAAATATACACATATAAATTTTCATTTTGATTTATCTTTTTAATTAAAAGAAAATAATATGAAATCTTATTGATAATCAAACTACTTAAAATAATAATATATGATAATAAATATCTATAAACATAAATTAAAATATAATAAAATTTCAATAAAAGGTAATTAATAATAATTACTTAATAAATATTAAAGCAATAATTATAAATACATAAAACATATCCAAAAAATAAAAATATAAAAAAAAAAAAAACCCAGAAATGATATCTAAAATAATTATAAAATAATTCTCTAAATCAACCTTCACCCCTTTTTTCTAATTTTCATCCACTCCTTTAGAATACTTAAAACTTGAAAAATACGACACAAAAGTCGCATTAATAACATTCAACCGTCCTAAACAATTAAATGCACTTTGTGACGGTTTAATAAATGAACTAAACACCACATTAAAAAATTTAGATGAAGATTCTTAAATAAACGCCATTGTAATCACTGGAAATGAAAAAGCATTCGCAGCAGGTGCTGATATAAAAGAAATGAAAGACAAATCTTATCCTTTAACTTATAAAATTAATATGTTATCACATTGGGATAATATCACAAATATTAAAAAACCTATAATTGCAGCAGTTAATGGATATGCATTAGGTGGAGGATGTGAATTAGCAATGATGTGTGATATTATAATAGCTGGAAAATCGGCTAAATTTGGATAACCAGAAGTTGTTATTGGAACGTAAAATTAATAAATATTAAAAAATATTTTTTTTTTAAAAAAAAAAAAAAAAAAATAGAATTCCTGGATGTGGAGGAACTATTAGGCTTACAAAAGCTATGGGAAAATCTAAGGCTATGGAATATATTCTTACAGGAAATTAATGGGATGCTTAAACTGCAGAATAGCATGGACTTGTTTCTAGAGTTGTAGAACCATCAGAAACTGTGAATGAAGCTTTAAAACTAGCAGCTTAGATTTCTAGTTTCTCCTCACCTATTGTTTAAATGGCTAAGGAATGTGTTAATTAATCGTATAATTTAACTCTTAGAGATGGTGTTTAGTTTGAAAAGAAAGTTTTCCATGCTACATTTGCAACTGAAGATAGAAAAGAAGGAATGAGTGCTTTTGTGGAAAAAAGAAAACCTAATTGGAAAAATAATTGATTTTTATGTTTTATATTTTTTTATTTTTTTAGAATGTGTATGTTAGTAAAAATTTTTGATTATGGGGATATTTTCTATAGATAAATATTTCGTTATTTAATTATATTTAAATAAATAAATATATATGATTGATTATAAATACATAATTATATTTTATATATGAAAGTATTCAAAAATATAAATATTAAATAAAAAATATATGTATATATAATATTTATAAAAATGAATAATAAAATAATATATAAAGTAATTTTTAATGAAATAATATAATATATAATTATATTATATTTTTTTTAAAAATATTTCTTTAATTTAAATAATTTTTTTTAATATTATAATTAATTTATAAATAAATAAAATTTTAATTATAAAAATAAAAGAAAAAATATTTTAGTATTTTATTAATAATAAAAAGAAAATAATATCTAAAAAAATAAATTATTAATTCTATTTTGAAACATAAAAAAGTAATTTAAAAATAAATAAAGTTTTTAAATATATTATTAAATAGAAATATATTTATTAAGATTAATATAAAAATTAATTTTATACAATTAATAATTTTAATAAAATGTATATAAAAACATTATATTAAAATAAAAATTTATTAATAAATTTTAATATTTATTATTATTTTATTAATTTCTATAAAATATAAAAACAATACTTTTAAAAATTAATAAATTAGTATATGAATAAATTATTTTATATATATATATATATATATATTATATAAATATATAAATTTATTAAGTAAAGATTTTTTTAATATTTTTAATAATACATATTTATTTTTTTATTTATATCTGAATTTTTTTTTATTTTACTAATATAATATTAATTATTATTTAATAATTTTGTCATTTTTACTTTTTAACAAAAAACTATTATCTTTATTCTTTATATGTCTTATAAAAATTAAATTAATATAATATTATTTCTTAAAAAGATATATGTTTATTAGATAAAAATAATTTTTTTATTTTTTAATTTAATTAATTCATATTTATTAAAAATTTTATCTAAATCCATATATATATATTAATAAATTTTTAGATTAATTTAGTTATTTATATTTAATTATCGTTAGTTTAATTATATTTTTTTTTAAGTTAATTTTAAAAAAAATATTATATATTTTTACATAAAATTTAAATTAAATAATGAATCTTAATTTTATCTAAAAAATATATTATTTAAATTATTAAATGCATTTAATATATATATATATATTTATAATAAAAAATATTTTTTTTTTTTTTTTTTAATTTTTATAACATTTTTAACATTTATATTTAATTTTTTCACTCCTTATTTTTAATTACATATCAAAGTAAATTTTCTAATTTTAGTTTATTTATAATAAATTTTATTAAATTGATTTGCTTAAATTTTTTTTTATATAATAATAAAAAACAAATAAACTCTTATATAAATAATAATAATAAATAAATATATAATTTTATAATTGATACTAACATGATAGAAATGACAAAATATTTTTTATAAATAAATTTTTTAGGTACAAATAAAAATTTAATTTAAATTTATTAAAAATTATTATAAATATATTATATATATATAATATATTTAAATTATTTTTAAAATTTTAACGATTTCAAATACAATTTTTCTTTAAACAACGAAATTCTTAAATACATAAATTATTTTATAGATTTTCGACTTTTTAATATTAATTATATTGGCGTTAATTAATTTATATAAATATGTATTTATAAAAAAACATAAATATTAATTATATATTACATTAATTCTTTTAATATCACAAATATACATTTATTTAAGTTTAAAAATATAAAAAATAATAATATTATATTATCTAAAAAAAAAAATGAAATTTCTAAAATCTTTAATTTTAGTTTATATAATATTCTAACTTTTATTTATAAACAATTGCCAACACCATAATATAATACCTTTAAATTCAGAAACATATTTATAAGAAATAAATCATCTACAATCAAGAAAAATAACTTTATGTGATATAGAAAGTAAATGGATAACTATAAAAGAAGAAATTCCAAAACTAACATATTGCAAAGGAAATGATTTTTCATAATATAATGAAGCTTATTTTTTTGAACAGTAATTAGATTTTATTCAAACGAGTTGTGAAATGAAGCAATAAGTTAAAAATTCTAAATGTAAAGTTGAATTGGATTTATATATAAGTAATTTATCTATAGGAGATAAAATTGGAATTTTTATAAAAGATATTGAAAGTAAAAAATATATATAATGATTTTTTTTAAAAAAAATTAAATAAAATATAGTTTATAAATTTGATTTTCAAGAAAATTTTTAAAATAATTAAAATAATTTTAAAATTTAAAAATGCTTTCCTTAAATAAATAATGAAAATACATTTTCTTATTTTATATCTTAAAATTTTATTTTAGAAAACGACTCTTTTAATTTATAAATAAAAGCTTTTTTTTCAAATAAAACTTAAAAATATTGGGGAATAAACAATTTTTAAATTTCTTGTGAATTCGAAGAAATTACTCGTGTTGAAAAAAATCCAAAAACAAATATTATTAATTGTCCTAATAATTCCATTTTTTCTTTCGAAACTAATGAATGTGAATGCGCTAAAAACTTGTTTTTTGATAAAGAAAGCTAAAAATGTATATGTCCAAATAATACTGTTTTTGATTAATCTTTAAATATGTGTGTGTGTCATAAAGGATTATTTTTATCTAAAAAGAGTAATTTTTGTGTATGTAAGCCTGGAATGATTCTTTCTATAGATTAAAATAATTGTTTATGTCCGAACAATATGATTTTTGAAAAAAATTAATGTGTATTTAGAAATATAAATTAATAAATTTAGAGAGAAATTAATTAAATAGAAACAAAATCTTTTCGTAATTTAAAAAAATATGAGGAAGTAGAAATATATGTTTTTGATGAAATTTTGATATTTGGTTTAAAAAATGAAGAAATTAAAATAAAATTTTATGTGAAAAATAAAGAAAACAAACAACTTATTTTATATAAAATTATTAAAAAAATGGAAATTAATAAATTCGAAATTTCAATTCCTTTTTGGGAACTCTAAAGAGATTTTTTTGAAGAAATAAATTTTTTTAAAGAAAAAAATGAAGAAAATAATATTTTTTAAAAAATAAATTTTGAAATTTAATTTTCTTAAAATAATTTTATTATTAAAATAAATTTTTTTGAATTAAAAATTTTCATCCCGAAAAACAATTAGGAAATCTTTCATTTTGATATTAATCCATTTAATGATTTTTCTTAAGATAATATATAATGCTCTCATTTAAAAAGTACTTTTTTTTAAAATGAGGCTTGTGGTATACTTTTCAAATATAAAAAATACTATTTAAGTGAAATTATGTTTATTAATATTTAAAATGTTAATGGTCTTTAATAAAAGAAATATTTGGAAGTTGAAAGTATTAAGATTTTGGATAAATATGGAATAGTAAGAAGTGTGAAAAATTAATAATTTATAATTTTAAATAAGAAACCTGGAATCATTGATTTATTAATTTTTTAAAGTAATTTTCTAAAAGGAGAAATATATATTAATTTAGTAATAAAAACATCGGAAAATATAAATTATTTAAGTAAAAATTAAAATAACAAAGTTTAAGATGAAAATCTAATTTTATAAAATATTTGTTTATAAATTATTTAAAATAAAAATAAAAAAATAGATTTACTTAGTTATATTTCTAAATTTTATTGATTTATATTTTTTAGAATTATTTCAATAACTTGTTTGATTTATTTTTTTATTGAAATAACTATTTTATTTTAAAAAAACAAGATATAATACAGTTTTATTTTTATTTCAATAAAATTTTTAATATATATAATATTTTTATAATAATAAATATTTTTATTAAATAATTAATAAATATTAAATAGATATAAATTTAAGTCATAATTAATATATTATAAAATATATCAAATATCATATATATATATCATATATATATATATATATATATATGTATATATTATATAATTTCTTTAAAAACAAATAAAATAATTTTTTATTTTTATAAGAATAATTAGTTAGTTAAATAATATTATGCTTAATTAACTTTTGAGATTTAGAAAAATTTAATTATTAATTTATATAAAAATTTAAATTTTTTTATATGATTATAGATACAAAGTAATATTAAAAAGATATTTAAATTCAAAAAGTTAAAATATAAAATACTGAAGTAATAATAATTTTAAAATAATTAAAAAAGAATATAAATAAGAAAAATTCTACTATAATTTAATTATGAAAACTTATGCAATAATAAAATTGATTTTTTTATTTAATTGCTAATTGTTTGTAAATGATAAATTAATTATTATTTTAATAATTATTTTTACTATATTAGCTCAAACATAAAAAAATATTGATTTATTTTTTCAAATTAGATTAATAATAAGCTTTTATTAAATTTTATGAAAATTCAATTTTTTAAAAATATCGCAAAAAATATTTAATAAACTTTTATATAAATTAATTGAAAGGAAATAATATATATCTAGTGATATTAAATGAATATAAATGAAATAGCAAATCATTGAAAATAGAAATTATTATATATATTAAATAATTCTTTAATATAAACATATTTCAGATTAAATATATTTATTTATATATAATATATTAAATTCATTTTTAAAATTATAATTTAATTTTACAATATAATTAATTTTTTTTTTTAATAATAGATAATAAAATAGAATAAATATATATGAAATAATAAAAAATATTCATAAATTTAATTTAATTTAATCTATATTTTATTAAATTTTATTAAAAACTTTTTAATTTAAATTATAAACAATCATTTTGACAAGAAGTATAGTAATGTTGTTAAAATAAAAAATTTTAATTTATTTTTTAATAAAAATTTTAAATATTTTTTGATTTTTTATACTATTAATTTTTATAAAAAAGTTATATAATTAATTTAATATATAAAAACATATTTTATTTGTTTCATAATTTTAATTAATAATATATTTTATTTATTAAGATATATAATTTTATTTAGTAAG